CAGGCCCCAGGCCCCGGGCTTGGATCGCTTTGGGTGTCCTGCGGCCTGTTTCTTAATTACCTTCTGATTCTTCCTTTGTTTGTCTTTACTTCCCCCTCCCCTCCTTCCTTAGGCTCTGTGGGGTTTTCTGGCTATGGGGTTTTTTTTCTTTTTTTCTTTTTTTTTCTCTAAATTCGGTGAGATCATCTTGCCTGGAGGCAGCAATGTGACAGAAATGCTAAATAGCCCTGTCGCTGGGGGACGCTTCCTCATCTAAACTCCATAGTCGTCTTGCTTGCAATCAGGTGGTAGTCTCTCAGAAAATGAATACCTAATTGAATTGGGGGTAGTAATTTATGGAAGGAGGCCAAACCCTAAAAGCATAAGGTATCTAAAAATAAATGTAAGTCTTTGAGAATGGGCCGGAGCAACTATGAATTAAGAACTAAAGGAGTAAGTCTTAGCTTGAACATTCTAGAAGACGTAGATAAACTGTTGGCATGTGGCACCTGTTTCTTTGCAAAGGAAAAGTAATCCTGAATCACAACAGGATTTTGATATCAGTTTTTTACATCTTAATACCCTTCAACTTTTCAATACTCTGAAATATTTTATGTGCCAAAGTACTTCATTTTGATGTAGTTAATACTCTGCAACTTTCACTTCTCTGAAGCGTTTTAAGTGCCAAAGTGCTTAGTTTTGATGGTGTTTTATAAAATGCATAGTAGTTGTTATCCGTGCAGTTATGTTAAACAGATGGGACAGCAGAACACTTCACACTTCTTACTGTTTCTAAGTGAGTAATTTAAAGAGAGTGACTAATCATCCTACCATACAGTTGTCAACAAAACCGTAATTTTTTTCTACCACCCACAAAATCTGAAGAAGAGGTTTCCAGACTTTCTGTGGATGAGAAGTGAAAACTAAAGAACCTCTCTTTTGAGCAACAGTTTAAATTTAGATTGAGGAGGACTACATGTGATGGACTTTTAATCTTTTAATCTTGTTATTTTTTCCATGTAGAAATATAGTGATACATCCAGAAAGCTGGTTGACTTACTGTGGTCATTGTCATTCACTGTTTTAAGGTTTTCATGTAAATAGCAACCTTTTGCTGAAACTAAACGAATTTCATCTGTCCTCTTTCGCCTTCCTGCTTTACCTGCATCAAGTTGTAAATCATCTGGGACCGAGGCACTTTAATATTCAGTGCAATGTGGATTGTGCATTTTTATGATAATAGTCAAGTGATGGGTGTCATCAGGGTAATACTAGTGTGAACTGTGTGTTGACAGGGGAGGAATTGCATTTGTTTTGAGGAAACCAGCTTAGTAAGACAAAGAGCTGGCTAAGAAATTTGTGTTTAAAAATGTGATGTGAGAAGTGACCTGATTGGAACACAGCCCGTGTGGGAGATGGAAGTCAGTGATTACTTACAGCTTGTGAGGCTGAGCCATCAGGGCAACAGTAAATTTAAACCCTGCCCAGGTACTATGGGACTAAAAAATGTCTTGGAGGAGAGGTACTCGGATTTTATTTCTTTTCAGTTAAGTGAGTTAAAGAGCTGGGAGAGTAGTTTTAAATGCATTGAAATGCACTATTGGACACAGAAGGCAGATGAGTGATAAGATTGGGCAGGGCTGTTTGGAAGTGCCGTTACCTATGGGGGGAAGAAGTAGCATATGGGGTGGAAAATGAGGAAACCGAGGATGCATCAGAATGGATCCCACAAACAGCATAAGAAAGGTATATTTAATGTATGCCAGCACTGATAAAGATTTGCTCTTTATAGTTAGTTGGTTTGGTCTTTTTGTCACCTTTCCTGTAAAGACTAATTATGGATCGGGAGCGTGCTGAGAATGCTGTTCTGTGTTTTCGCCATAACTAATACTTGAAATTACTGATATGTTGGTGAATTGAGAAAAAAAATATTTACCCAATAACTTTCTTTTTACGCATGTGCAGAATGGTGCCGTTATGGCTGGGTTTTTTTGTCCTGGTGATCTCCTCTTTAGAGAAGCAGTCTATCAGGTGTCTGCCTCAGCAGCTATTACAGATGGCTTTTGCTGAATGGGAAGCGCCATTGGAAGGATAACAGTTCACTTTCTCTTCTTTCAAATGGAGTGTTAAAGAACAGGTTTTCTTTAGGAAATAGAAAAGTTGGGGAGTGGTCTGAGAGCTGATTGGGCCAGGATTGAGTTCTAACCAGAGAGAGCTGGTAATGGCACGGCAGTCAACAGAGGTGATGCCTGTTTCTGATACTGGATGGTTATTCAAACCTTCTAATAGTGTGGTCCCACTGGTTAAATGTTTGGAAAGTATTGAAGAACTGTGGGTATAGTCCTTTCTCTTTTACAACAGTTTCCTAGAGATGGGTATCCTTTTGTTAGCTAATCCCTGTATTAGAGATCACAAGGTAAATATACCAGTAATGTCAGAAAGTCAAAACTCTGTCAAAAATGTATCTGTAGGCTTTGTGCCGTGTGAGGAGTGGTACGGACTGAGATGCTAGTGTAGTCTTTCCTACTTACCAGTAAATGTTTCAAGTGGAAGATAGTCTTCTCTAAAGTAGTAGCTGTAGTTGTCGGAAGTCTATACTGGGTAGTTATAGTCCAATAATTAGAGAACAATGTTTTCAGTGAATATTTTAGCTTTTAAATACTCCATGGTGCCACTGCATTTTACTTGGGAGAAGGGAAATAGATTTTATGTTGTTCCTTTAACTTTCTAGAAAATCCTTATTTAGCTAAAAAAAAAAAACCACTTGTCATTGCTCTTTTATTTTAAAGTTGCTGTACCAACTGGTATGTCCTTTCAGTGAGCAAAGGGGTCTTCTAGCTATTTTTGAGTAAGCTAGAAGCAAAATACTTGAATAATAAACTACACTGTTGACTTGGCAAATAACATGGAGCTTGGTTCATTTTAATAATCTTTAGCTGTTAATAAACTAATCTTATTGAAAATGCTGGGAACTGTTTACTGTAAACTTGGTAAGTTCTTACTGTAATTACTGTGCAGTCTAACCTTCTGGTTTTGTTCAGGACAGCCTGGTGTTATCATTATGGATCGCTCTCGGCACCGTGCAGGAAATGGCAATGAGCAGGCATCTTCACGAGAGCGCAGTCATGGTGAAGATGAGAGACAACGACAGCTGGAGCGCCTCAGTAGGGAGGAGGCCTATTACCAGTTCATTAATGAACTCAATGAAGAAGACTACAGGTTAATGAGAGACCACAACCTCCTTGGCACTCCTGGTAAGGTGTGAATACCTTCAGTAGAAAGGATAAAATGTGAAGTAACACGACTGCTGTCAGGCACAGCATGTGGTTGGTATGACTCAAGTGGCCTGAACATCTGTGCCTTGGTAGGAAGGGAAAAACCCTCGATTTCCCTTCAAAATTAATGATATCCAGTAAAAATCAACAAATTGAATAGATACTAAAGCTGGACTAAAAATATAACTCCTTCAAATGCAGTGTCTCTGTATACAGGTAGTACCCAAATAATGAACATGTGGTATGCTAAAGTATATCTGTTGATGTGTGGCAATTTTGGGGGACTCTTGAGATTTTGCTGGAAGTTGGTGTGCTCTTGACACACATTCATCATCTTTTTTTCTCCTGCACTAGTACTTATGTCCTCTGTTGTCTGTGTACCTGCATTACAATCTCACACTAGTGCTGTTTTATTTGTGGTTATAGTAATTTTACCTTATTTTTGAAGATTTTCCTTCAAGGTAGAAAATACTATTTCTGCATGGCTGTGTTGAGCCCATAATGATGTCTTATCTAACAGCATTATCAAAATATAAATTATTTCAGGGGAAATAACAGCAGAAGAGTTGCAACAACGCTTGGAGGGGGCTAAGGAGCGACTGGCATCACAAACTGATCCGGAAAACAGAGAAGGTGAAGGTAGAACTGTTGGAGGTAAACATTCTTCATTCATATATATATATATATATATGCACATAGTACATGATGCATAAATAAATATTGTTCTGTACAGATATTTAAGAGAAATGCTGATGGGTTTCAGTACCAGCCATTTCAAGTCTTGTTTTTCCATTGTACCTCTGTGGAATGTTTTCAAAGTAAGAGAGATTTCTTAATGATATGAAAATGAACTTGAAATACTTCATGAAAACTGATTTATGTCAGCCACAAGTTAATTTCTCATCTTTTCCCAATTTCCCTTTGCTAGCAAACTTAATAGCACAAAAATAATGTTCATTCTTCGAGTTCTTAAAAGGTTGTATAATGTATTAGAGAAGTTGGAACAGGAAAGAAGTTAATTGGGAAATGGTTAATGTCTTCACTGTTTGTTGTTTTTTGTTGTTTCATTTCCATTTGTTTTAATGAAGTGAGGTTTGTATTATGTGCGCTGTCTGTCTTCACTTCCCCAGCATTACTGGCTTAATCAGTTGGCCAATTCTAGTCAGATTTAGAAGAGGAATAGGCAACTCAGAAGCAAAGATATCAAAGTAGGGAGAGCTTAATCTGATCCCTTCTAGGGAAAACCTTCACTGTGATCATGACCATGGGCTTTCTTTATACATGTGGTTAGCACTAAGCACAACAGTTGTATCTGTTCTTGAGCTCATAGTTGGAGGAGATTTGTGAATGAAGTTGTGGTTATTGTAGTAGGAAAATAGTATATTTGCACAAAAGGAGCAAATCTGCCAAAATTGTGCATCATTTATTCCACAGCTTATAGAAAACAATTTTTTTAAAGTGTTTTCCAAAAGAAGACAAAATCTATCACACTTTACCTTGCTTTATCAAAATTAGTTGACTAGGATGCCCTGAAATTGATAGCTTAAGCAACGAACAGATACAGGACAAATACAACTGACTCTGAACTGACTAAATCCAAGCAGTTTCTCAGAAGAGGCCATCTGGGCATATTCATTTTTCTGTGTATCTGCTGGTGAGACGAAAATTGTAGGTTGAACTGATGAGTTTTGCTGACGTTTTTACGTATAGTGTTTTTTCAGCAAAATGGCATTAGCACAGCAAGGTAGCTGTCCTGCCACTGTAATGTTACTGAAGTCAAGGCCCAGCAAGCACATTGTAGTATGCAAAGCCAAGTGCAAGGTCCTGCACATGGTTTGAGGCACTCCCAAGCACAAATACAGGGTGGGCAAAGAATGGTTTGAGAGCAGCCCTGAGGAGAAGGATTTGGGGGTGTTGGTAGATGAAAAACTGAACATGAGCCAGCAGTGTGCGATCGTGGCCCAGAAGGCCAACCAGATCCTGGGCCGCATCAAGAGGATTGTGGCCAGCAGGTTGAGGGAGGTGATTCTGCTCCTCTACTATGCTCTTGTGAGACCCCACTTGGAGTACTGCATCCAGGTCTGGGCCCCCCAACACAAGAAGGACATTTAGCTGTTGGAGTGGGTCCAGAGGAGAACCACAAGGATAATCAGGGGGCTGGAGCGCTTCCTGTATGAGGACAGGCTGAGAGAGTTGAGGTTCTTCAGCCTGGAGAAGAGAAGGCTCTTGGGGAGACCTCATAGCGGCCTTCCACTACCTGAAGGGGGCCTACAGGAAAGATGGGGAGAGAGTTTTTACAAGGGCATGTAGTGACAGGACGAGGGGTAATTGATTTAAACTGGAAGTGGGCAGACTTAGACTAGATATTAGGAAGAAATTCTTTACTGTGAGGGTGGTGAGGCACTGGAACAGGTTGCCCAGAGAAGTTGTGGATGCCTCATCCCTGGAGGGGTTCAAGG